AATGATGTCCAAGGACAGGAAAAAAAACACCTTGAAAGTCCCTGGTAGAGTTTGCGGCTAAATTATAAAAAAAATCCTCTTTTGTCTTGTAAATTGAAAAAAAATTGATATTCACTGAAAGATATATAAAATAATTGTTCTGATAGAAAAGCACAAAGATTAGGGGTGGGCCCAAATTAAAACACAGATCTGATTCAGTTCCATTTCTTCTAATGAAAACATCTTACATAGGGTTACCATATTTAAAAAATAAAAAAAGAGGACACTCCATGGGCCCTGGCCCCGCCCTTTCCCACACCCGGCCCCGCCCCTTCCCCAAAGTCTCCGCCCTAACTCCTCCTCCTCCCTTCCAGCCACGCGAAAAGGGCTGCCCGAGCGCTACCGGCTTCACGGTTTGCTGGGCAGCCTCCAGACCCTGCGCCCCCGGTCGTCGCTTCCCCAGCGCAGCTGGAACCCGGGAGGGGAAGCGCCCAGCTGGGGGCGCAGGGTCTGGAGGCTGCCTGGCAAACCATGAAGCCGGTAGCGCTCGGGCTTCGGGCAGCCCCCCTTGCCTCCGGACTCTGCGCAGCCGGAGCAGAGCAGCTGGAGCCCGGGAAGGGAAGTGCCTGGCCGGCGGCTGGGGTCCGGAGGCACGGGGGCTGCCCGAAGCTGGTAGCGCTGGCTCGGACAGCTTGGCTCTTAAACAGAGCCGAAGTCTGAGTCAGGGGAGGAGCAGAGCAGCCGCGGGAGAGGAAGTGCCCGGCCAGTATTTTTCCCGGACATGTTCGGCTTTTTGGCAATTCCCCCCGGACGGGGGTTTGATTGCCGAAAAGCCGGACATGCCCGGGAAAAACCGGATGTATGGTAACCCTATCTTACACCAATTTTTCACTCCAGTGTCTTTGATGGAGTTCTGATTTGCCCTAGTATAAGTGAGAGCAAGATCAGGCCCAGAAATGTTCCAAAAAGAACTTTCTGTGTTGGTGGGGGACAGGATGAGGCCTGCATAGGTTATTACTGACATAGATGCTTATGTGCTTTGGTCCCCATTCAGATATATATGTATCTATCAATAATTCCTGCCCTGGATTTAGTCTCCCAGTGGAAAGCGTTGTTCATATGTTTGTTTTTATTGGTGTATAACACCAGTCCTCCTGTGACCGTATGCAAGTCATGGCTGAGACTATTTTCAGAGATTACAGTTGCAGCAAAATATGACAAGAATTAGCATAGCAGTGCTGCTGCCAGTGAGAAATAAATGGGTTGGTGTCTCTCGCTCCTGTGAGCACTTCAAATATAGATAAAACTAAATTCCAAGAAAGAAACATCTCATCTTCTATAGTATGTGAATATAGGAACTGCCAAACTGGATCAGACCAGTGGTCCACCTGTTCCAGTACCAGACGCTTCCAAGGAAGATGGAGAAAACTCCATAATGGACAATTACAGAATAATTTGCTATAAAGTGGTCTGCGTACCACCTGTAGCACCCTCTGGTGTCAGGCTGTGATGTTGAAAGGAGCCCTTGTCTCTGGCACCTCCTGGAGGCCATCTCTCTCTCACCAGGTCTTCTGGGGCTCAGCCCTCCAGCCAAGTTCAGTCCCCTTCCAGAGTAACAAAAAGGTCCAAACAAAAAATCCTAACAATCCAAAGTAATAATTCTTTTTCAGCCCCTCTCCAGCCAAACTAATGGCTAGTTCTTTCACAGCAGGATTCCCCATACTGCCTCCCTCCTCCAGGAACTCTGGCAGTTTACCTCTGGGGGTCTCCTTGTTCCCACTTACAAGCCCTATCCCAGGACTTCTCCCCCAGGAGACTAACCTGCTCCCTGTGGGTTTCTTCTATCCATCATGGGCCTAACTCAGGGCTTCCTCCACAGGAGTCTACTCTGCTCCCATGGAGTTTCTTTACCAGAGCTCCCTCTCTCCATCTTGCTCCCTTCCCCAAAGCCAGTTTCCACCTGTAGGACTCTGGTCTGGAGACTTACCCCAGCTCTCTTCCCAGAGGCTACTGAGAAGAGCTCTGCCACTGTCTCCATTCTCCAGAGATCTTGACAATTCTCTTGGGGTTCTCACTGTCAGCTCCAAGCCCTCCTTCAGGGCTTGGCTCCACAGCGGCCTACCCTGCTTCCTATGTGTAAGGGGACTCTTGGCCCCTTACTAAAATTCAGTGGCGGTGGGGGGGCAGGTTGGTTGGCTATCTCCCAGTACCAAAAGAAAGGGGAAGGGTTGATGGGAAATCAGTACCAATGGTGGAGGCCAATGCTCCAGATCAGCCTGACTGACAGGGTGGGCAGGCTAATGAGGGAGTCAGGAGCCCAGGGGGGTCCTGTTCTCTGTGTGAGCTGGAATTGCCTGCAACAGAGTGGGCTGAGCTAAGGAGAGAGCAGGAGCCCGAGCTGAGCTGGGGAGCAGAGCCCCGCAAGCCAGAGAGAGCCAGAGAAGCAGCCCAGGGAGTAGGTCAGTGCTGGGAGGGGAGCTGTAGCAACCAGAGCCAAAGGGGCCAGAAGCAGCCCAGGGAGCTGTGCTGAAGACAGAGCAGCAGCAGGGCTGAGGCAGGCTGGGCCTGGGGCTGAGACAGGAGCTGGAGCAGTCCGGAGCCAGTGCAGTGAGCAGGTGGGAAGCACTGAGGTGGGGACCCTGGGCAGCGGGCCCAGTGCAGGGAGATGCCCCCAGCCAAGAGGCCTTGCAGGTGTCTGACCCACAGCATCCCTGCAGCACAGCCGGAGCCTGAAAAGGAGCCCTGGGACATGTGAGGAACAGACTGTGAACTTCCCTTACATTCCTGCGACGCTGTTTGTGGTTCCCCTGTGCCCACCGAGTGGGGGTGCTGAGAGCCACTGAACCAAACTGTAAACCCTGTATGTAATGGAAACCACTTCCAGCCAGGGAGTGCTGCAGCAGCCCCTCACTCCTAGTTCCAGCACCTATGGCAGGGTTACATGTTTTCCTTTAACCTTTCCCATTTTTTCCTTATTTTTTTTAACTAGTTGCTGTTTAATAAATTGTATTTGCTTTGAACTGTATGTAATGATCAGTGGGTCAGAGAAGCATCCAGTGCAGAGAGAGCACCCCAGAATGGGAACATCCTAGCCCCTGTCCTAAGTGATCACAACAAGGTTGGGGGTCAAGCCCCCCCAGGAATCCTGGGCCCAGCCTTGTTGGGGTTACAAAGACTCCGCCACACAGGAGAGTGGAAGGGCAGCCCTTGAGGTCAGGCAGACCTCTGAGTAAAGAGAGTGGGAGTGTGGACTGAGATCCTTTTGCTAGCCCATTTCACCAGGGTAGTGTATGAACCAGGAAAGTTCCCCACAATAGTGGGACCATTCCCCTGCTTACATAATGGCTCACTTCCAGCCTGCAGTAGCTGCATCACTTCTCCTAACAGAACTCCTTTCTCTCCCCCCTTCCTTCTCAGCAACCTTTCCTTTATACTGTTCTAACTGCCTCGGCATCTAGCTCAGCTGCTCCATTACTAATTAGCTAAAAGGGCACCACCTGGAGCACCTGATGGCTTCCAGTTGTAGCCCACAGGGTTGTCATGGGCCAGTTAGGCCCTAGTTCTCCTGAAGGGCCATTGGCCCCGTGACATCTGCCAATGAGGGAAATATTTCGTCTTCACTTTTGAAGGAATGAAAAGATATTAATAAACTACACCTAATTTTTTATAAATCTGCTAAAACTGGCTGTTTCCCTATGTGCCGACACAGATTGGGTAAACAAGACTAATGATTCAGAATGTAAGTTGATCACAAGGCCGAGGGTCAGGCATAAAATTTTTCTCCTAGCATGCAGTGTTAGTTTCACCTCTCTGAATCAACAGGTATTGGTCACTGCCAGAGACAACAACGGACTAGTTCAGTGCTGCAGAGCCCATGAGAGTTGAGAATCTAAGCTGAAGAGGTGTTGAGGGCCAAATTTTACTGTAGTTGTATGTACTGTAGTGACTACAGATCCCACCAAGCAGTGTCCTATCTAGATCAATTTCCTTCCCTTAGTATTATTATTGATTCCCTCTTGCTAATTGTGAAAATGCTACTTCTTTGTGGAGAAGGACACAAACCACAGGATTCAAAGAATGTGGGTGAGGCAACATTATGTATCATTTCTTCCCACAGGGCCTGAGCTTACTTTCTGTGAAGCATCTACAAGAAAGCACTACAAGAAGGATGTGGAAAAATTGGAAAGAGTCGAGTGGAGGGCAATAAAAATGATTAGGGGTCTGGAGCACATGACTTATGAGGAGAGGCTGAGGGAACTGGGATTGTTTAGTCTGCAGAAAAGAAGAATGAGGGGGGGATTTGATAGCTGCTTTCATCTACCTGAAAGAGGGTTCCAAAGAGGATGGATCTAGACTGTTCTCAGTGGTACCAGATGACAGAACAAGGAGTAATGGTCTCAAGTTGCAGGAGGGAGGTTTAGGTTGGATATTAGGAAAAACTTTTTCACTAGGAGGGTGATGAAGCACTGGAATGGGTTACCTAGGAAAGTGGTGGAATCTCCTTCCTTAGAGGTTTTTAAGGTCAGGCTTGACAAAGCCCTGGCTGGGATGATTTAGTTGGGAATTGGTCCTGCTTTGAGCAGGGGGTTGGACTAGATGACCTCCTGAGGTCCCTTCCAACCCTGATAGTCTATGATTCTATGATCTGCTGTTCTGGGGATAGGATGGTAGAACCTGAGTTTCTTGCATAGCAATGCAAAACACTAACATCTCAGCACCAGCACTGGTTGTATGCGTGATCAACCACAATGGTTGCCCTGAGCCCCAATTTCCAGGGGGCATTGGACCGCTGTGCTGCTCAGTTTTCATAATTTTTATTTATTATTATTTTTATTTATTTATTTGTTTGTTTATTATGGCTCAGTTTCTGGGGGCAGAAGGGATGCTGAAAACATTTTCCACGTTGGACAGCCAAAAGGCTAGCACTACACTTGAGAGGCACTGTCACCATTGTATTTGTTTAGTTTACTGAAACCCAGAAGTCTTCATTATTTGACTAATTATTTGCATTTTTTCCTCAGAGACAAACAAGACAGTCTGCTGGAATTATGGTAGGTGCTTTTGAGAAGGAAGTGTGATTTCCTTGTAAGACGCTACCAGTAAAATTGTCCATATCCTTTTCTTCATCCTGACAACATAAAAGGTCCCCCCACTTTGTATCTTTTTTGTTGTGTATCGAAGGAAAAGGAGAAGGGAACTGTTTATAGATTTAACTACAGTGCCTACTGATCACTGGCTTTTTCCCTCCTCAAATGAAATATGGGGCTGAACCAGATTGAAACGTAGTCTTGTGGCTAGAGCAGGGGAAGTCCTGCATTCTCTTCCTGTCTCAGCAACTTCCTTGGGACAAGTCATTGACATCAATGGGGCCTGTTTGTGCTTGGCATTAATCTTTGTGTTTCAGTTGCCCCATCGGTATAAGGGCATAATAATAGGGGACTCCCAGAATTATTTTCATGCTCCATTAATTGTTTGCAAGGCACTTTGAAAAATGTCCTGGAAAGGTCTTACACAAATACAAATAATTATTTTTATATGACTAAACTCATTTAATTTACAGCTGTGAGATTAATTGAAAGCACTATCATAAAAGAAAGGTAGATAAGCAGTTGATTTCATACAAAACTAGTAGCCTAGTAACCTGCTTGGTTTTTGTAAGTTCTAAAAAATAAAGCAAGCCTGAGCAAAAGCAGCCATGATTAGGCATATCAGAAATGTCAAATATGGCCTTCCTTGGTTTCGCTGGAAGATTTATTGTAGAGCTCAAATGTATACTGTGAACTTTCTCATACCTTACCTCCAACTGATTGGAATTTAATAAACAGCTCTGTTACTGATGCACAAGGAGGACTAGAATCCAGCTCACTCTTTCAGAACAGTGCTGCTCTGCTGGACTAACAAGAGTAAAGAGCAGTAATGGCTTATTTACAACACCATTATTAACAGATATGACTCTGATACACACAAGGACCAGATCTGATATGTAAGCAGGTGTCATTTTTCTGTAATCACTTTTCAGACTAGAACGACATTTTAGACTTGGCATGTAAGAGTCAAGCAACTTCGGTCTGTGGTCAATATGCTTCTTTAGGCAATAACTGTGTTTTCTTTTTGTCTTCTCTTATCTATGATGTTTATAGGGCAGGGCTCAGAAAACCAGTCCTGGACAGCACAAGCACTGTGAGAAATGTTTCAACCGGCAATGCCAAGTCCCAATCGAGCTCACCATCTCCTGCTTAGTGATCAACTGCCATTCACGCTGTGGGGCTGCCTTTCATATGTGTAAACAGGAAGAACACCAACTCCTATGTCCCCTAGAGCAGGTCTCATGCCTCAACGCAGTTTATGGCTGCCCTTTCTCAATGGCCCGTTTTAAGCTGGCAAAGCACCTTCAGGTCTGTCCAGCCAGTGTTGTCCACTGCTCTATGGAATGGAATCGCTGGCCAAATGTAGACTCAGAAACCATTCTACATAAGAACATTATGAAGGAACCACATAATGAACAGTGTCTGGATACAGCTCTAGCCCTCAGAGATCAGAAGATTCTTTTTAGGACTCTGAAAATGATCGAGCTGTTTCCAGAATGGAGAGAAGATGATAAAATGGAAGAACCAATAGCTGGAGCTGCAGGTTTGGAAGAAGGAGCCGTTGGAGGAATAGCATGTGATTCTAAAGAAGCTGATGGCCAAGTTGCTGAGCTTACCCAACAGGAGCGTGAGGATTTGGCAAAGGATAAGAAGGGGATGGATCTAGTAAGTTACAAAGCCTGGGAGAATATGTTTAGCAAAGAGCGTTCAGCATTGAAGGCAACAGACTTTTCAGCGAACTCGGGAAAAAAGGAAGGGGATAGCTACAAGAAAACACGACAGATTCTTTGTGATGGCAACCCCAAAGAGAAGATAAAGGAAGCAGCTATTGTGGAAGAACCAAAAGAAAACAAAAATAATCAAGTGATTACAGGTGCAGAAAAGACAGGTCTGGCTCCTTGGCAAGATGGGATCCTGGAGAGGTTGAAAAAAGAAGTTAACATAGGGGATTATAACATGTACCTGGTGCATCATGGGAGAATGCTCATCCATTTTGGTCAGCTTGCTGCTTGCACACCAAGAGAGAAAGACTTTGTGTATGGGAACTTGGAGGCTCATGAAGTGAAGACTGTGTGCACCTTCAGAGTGCCAGTTAGCTATCGTGGCAAAAGAGCACGACTTGGAGATGCCTTGGCATACAAGATAGCAACGATGGACAAGTCAGTAGATACTTCAGATTTGCAAATAAGCCTTGAGGAATTTCCTAAATCAGATACAGCCAGAAGTACACTATTGTGTGCACTGGAAAAGGAACTGAAAGGTCATGAGATCTCGGAAGCAAAGAATATTGATGGACTGTTCATGGATTTTGGGACACAGACATACAGCTTTCAGGTGGAACCCTTCTCCTCTAGAGCTGTTCTAGCAGATGTTCTGGATATAAAAAGCCCACCAGAACTCCATGTAGAGCTTCATACTGAGTGTGTTACTAGAAGACATAACAAAAGCTGCTCAGCCTTCACATTCACTTGCAATCACTTCTTCAGGAGGGATGAGTTTCCTTCACATTTCAAGAATGTTCATGCTGATATCCAGTCCTGTCTAAATGGATGGTTCCAACATCGTTGTCCACTTGCCTACTTGGGATGTACTTTTGTTCAAAACCGCTTCTACCCTGCTAGTCATAAAGCAAAGATTATCTATAGCCAGCATCTTGATACATTTGCTATTAAACCAGAAGTTGACCCTGTGCCCTCTGAAATACAGAAATGTAATTTTACAACAAGTAATCAAGGAAAAAATAAAGAATCCCTGAGCAGCCTTCCATTGGAACTTTTACAATATATTGCTGGGTTCTTGGACAGCTTCAGCTTGTCTCAGCTGTCCCAAGTGTCTGTATTGATGAGGGATATCTGTGCCACTCTACTTCAAGAGAGAGGGATGGTCCTCCTGCTGTGGGAGAAAAAAAGATATTCCCATGGAGGTACTTCATGGAGAGCTCGCAAAAAGGCAAGTGAAGGTGGTGTTTGGGAAACAAAAGATATTTGCAGGATTGTCTAATTAAAAATATAACACAAGACGTGACTCTGATGTGACACTTAAAGGTCATGCACAGAACTTTTTAGAAATTAGACTTGTATCTCTTTTGGGTTGTGTACAGTGTTTAAAGATAGGATGTGGTCATTTCAGGCTATTTCCTAAGGCAAAAGTGAAATACTTGCAAGTAACTGTGACTGTGAAGGGAGCCCAGATTTTCACATCAACGCCTAATGTTTTCACTGATTGGTAATTTACAGGGTTTTCATGAAAATTTGCTTTGTTGGGACTTGGCTGCATAAGGTATCAAGCATGGGATAGGAAGCCCTTCATGTCTAAGTTTAAAACTTTGGGCTTGTCTACATGGTAGTTAGTGTGCACCAGCTGGGATGTAAATTCTAATGGACACCAGCTTGTTGCACACTAACTGGCCAGTGTGAAACCTGCTGGTGTGCACTAACAGTTCTCTCATGTGTGTTAATGTATTACTGTTTGAAACGGGATTACATCAGAGTGCCCGAGGGAACTTTAATGTGTCCCAACATGGTCACATGAGCCAGTTAGTGTGCAAACATGCTGGTGCGCATTAGAATTTATGCCCCTCTGGTGCACATTAACACATTGTGCAGACAAGCCCTTTAATATGACTATATATACGAGGTCATACAAGAAGAGACAAAGAGTGTGGGTCACACAGGATGGAGGACTGCATGTTGAAAAGCAGTGACTCTGCAAAGGACTTAGGCGTAAAAGTAGATAACCAAATGAACATGAGTTCTCAGTTTAAAGCTGTGTCCAAAAAGCTAACGTGAACTTTGGATGTATAAAAAAGGAAATCTCAAGTAGAAATAGGGATGTTTACACTGCTCTACAGCCAAAATGCTTCTGAAATAAATGTAGTCAAACTTTACTAATTCTGGGTCACTGAGAATGAAAATGATGCTTAAAATTGTTGATTGGCTCTAGTTTTCAAGATATGTGATTGGGTCAGTATATACGACCCTTGACTTGGGAATGGTGGAGGATAAGTGAGTTATAAAGGGAAGGGATCTCAATTTAAACCAGAAATGACTAAAATACATCTTTGACTGGATCTATGAATAAATCTATGACTGGGTTTGGATAGTACTTCTTTTTAGGCAAAACAATGAATGATGCAATCTGAGGCTGGTATTGCGTCATACATAATATGAATTGCATCATGTTATTCCTAGAAGTCATGGATGATGCAATCATAACGAAGCTTACATCACTCTGCTGAACAAATTCTGCTGAACAAATTC